CGGAATGCTGTTATTGCTTACCGCGAACATCCTCCCCGCGTCCCCAAATTCCCTGCAGCCTGACCTTGCCGCCGACCCTCATTTGTATGGCACTTGCCGAGAGGCCTCCCCGCCATGCTCGACACAGATGGCACAGGTAGCGCTGATGGATCGGGATGTGACACCGTCCCTCTGGTGCGTGCGGGAGGAGCAGCGCATCCGTCCCTGCGGCGGTGCCCGCCGGGGCTCGGGCTGTGCAGCCTGGAAACAGGGCTGGGGACAGGCAAACACCGCCAAGGACAAGCTGCCCATGCTTTATTTAATTATTCTTACCCCGCAGAAAAATTCCAGGCATGCCTGGCGTAGCAGGAGAGTCACATCTGCTGGCACATCCCGGCCCAGGAGCCTCCCTGGCAGCAGAACCCTGATGGGGACAGGCTGGGGACAGGCTGGGGACAGGCTGGGGAGAGCAGAACCTCCCCCTCTGCCTTGTGCTACCCCTTTGCCCTCAGTGGTCCCATCCCGTGATCCAGGAGCAGCAGGGTGAGCCCGGACCAGCAGCAGCATCCCCCTGCAGTCAGGGCAGCAGGAGCCTGTAGGGTTTGGGTTCAAACTCATCTCACAGGGACAGCTGTGACACCCTCCCATCCCTGGGAGTGCTCCAGGCCAGGCTGCACCAGCAGGGCATCACGGAATCACAAAACCCCTGCACAGTTTGGGTTGGGAGTGACTTTCAAGCTCCTCTTGTTCCACCCCTGCCATGGGCAGGGCCACGCTCCACTGAAGCAGGTGGCTCCAAGCCCCATCCAGGTATCCTGGCTGATGGAATAACACCACACACGAGCTGTACTCACCACTCCAATGCTTATTTCCCCCTGGATGGAAATGTCTGCCCAGTCTGTAAAGTGCTTTGGGATACTTGCAGAAAACAGCCTTGTGTCCCCCACATACCATCAGCACCATGGGGACACCTTCTCCACCACACTTGCTATTTAACCTCTGTGGCACAGTTCAGTTCCTTGGCCCCTAGGAGTGACTCTGTCCTAAAGAACGTACCTGGCTCTTTGGAATTTAAATAGTTCTCCTAATAAGTGGTTCCTTGGCTGGAAATATATGGATGCACCACAGTATCGTGTCTATGATTTTGCATTTTCCCCACTGTCTCTTCTGCCTGACATGATAATGAGCTCTGTGTTAAGCCAGAAAAAAGCAATTTTCTCCTGAGGTTAATTTCTTTGGATTGCCCACCTGAAGTGGGGAGTTGCATATAAATTCTAATTTGTCCTGAAGAGCAGAAGATTGAGTCAGTTTTTTTGGCATAGATGATACAGTGCAAATCTTTATTGACATACAGGGTGTTTTGTCCTGCCTTCCTGGCAACTGCCTCGGGAAGAAAATGGTGATGAAACCATTTGTGGCTCTTTGGGTCCCTTTGAACAGGCTCCAGCTTTACAACAAGAACCTGAACTGCCAGGGGGCAGGGATGGATGGCATATTGGGAATTGGGAATTCCTGGCTGGCATGGTGG